CTAAGGATGTCCGACTGCAGCTTAGGTCTGCTCCCTGCTGGCAAGTGGACATCCCCCGAGGGCTGCCGGGCTGCCAGAGGGATGTCTGATTGCCATCTTAGGCCCAATCCCCTGGGGAGCAGTCCTAAGCCAGCAGGTGGTCATCCCCTGAGGGGTCTCAGACTGCGAGAGGGCACAGGCCGGGCTGAGGGACCCTCTCATCCCCGAGTGCACAAATTTTTGTGCACTGGGCCTCTAGTATCATTATAAAATAATAGACAATCGCTGGGATTTTTTAGATAAAAATTTTAACATTAGTTCTCAAGAGTCTATTAGCATTTCTAATCCATGACAATATTGACATTCTGGTCTATAAAATTATTTGTGAGTAGCTGTCTCATGTTCTGTGAGATTTTTAAGAGGTTCCTGTGGACTACCCACTAGATGCCAACTCTGTACTGTTACAACCAGAAACATCTCCAGACATTGCCAATTGTCCTGCATGGGGAAACTCAGCCTGATTGAGAACCCATGGAAACAACTGTATGGGTGCTAGAGTTAATGGTGTAGCTTTTACAGCGATGGTAATAAAAGGAAAAGCAACATTTTAGGAGGATAAAATGTCAGTTTAATTTTGAGTTGAGGGGTCTACAGGACCTATTATCTCAGAGGTCAATTATACTGATCTGGTGTCCATCAGTCTGCATGGGTGGCAGTGTAAATAAAGTAATTGTATAGAATGAGAAGAAGTTGCTGCTTCGCGAATTGGCAGTTAGACAAGCTGATGCTTGGCTGAATCTCACCCAGGATTCTTCAGTTCTCAGTTATAGGGCCTCACTGGATATATGCTCTCATTGGAAACTATGCCATCACAACATTAGCTACCACTGTTATTCAATAATTATTTGTATAATTATTCCATCTCTTCTGAACGTTCCAGGGAATTTACACTATCACTTTTTCCTTCCTTATCCAGTTTTTTCCCAAAGTTTGCATGCATTATTATGTCTAATGTCATAGGAATCTTCTATATTCCCCTATCTTTCAATGAAAATGAAACATTTTTCTTTGGGTATTGTTCCAAATTTTTGGATATTTCGGCTATTAATGAGAAAACCACAGGCCTAAAATGGGGTCACTTGTGTTAAGACCTTGATAGTTAGACTTTGCAGTTCCCTTCTCCCAAAAGAAGATGGCTTGGCTTAAAATACCTCCCCCCCTTTTTGCTAATGACTCATTTGCCCCACCCTTTTTCCTAATAAAACCTCCACTTGTACAACCCTTCTGGTTGTTTGATGGGATGCTGGCTGATTCCTTTATTACTCAATAAAGCCTATTAGTTCTTCAAATTTACTTGGTGGATTAAAAAAAAAAAAGGTCTATACTTTCCATTGCCACTCTCTTCAACTCATCTGGCATCTTTCTGCCTCCATCACATTTGTTCTCGTTGAGGTCAGCAGTGACATCATGTACCCAAGAAATACTAAGGGATATTTTCAAAATGCTTGATTTTACAGTAGCAATGTCACTAATGAAATTGTCACTGCAATGCCTCTTTCTAGAAATAGGGACCTCTCTCATTCACTTGATTTTTTTTTTTTGCAATCTGATTCTGAGGGTCCAGGGTCCTTGTAACATTTAACACATCCCTCAGGAAGCAATTCCTAACTCTGAAATCAAGAAAAAAATTGAGATGCTCTAAATTAAATTACAACACCAGAGAATGAGAGAAAAAGACAAAATAGTAAGCCTGTTAATAGCTGTGGGCCAGCTCTGACAAAAGGCTGCCCACATTCCTGTCTGTCTGTTGGAACTTTAGATTAACTTCCACATGGCTATTTCCACTACTAAACAAAAGAGAGAATAGCCAGGCACCGTTGAACCCCAGGAGCTTCCACTTATCTATGCATGCACTTTCCAATCTGTTGCCCACAGCCAATCCACAGGAGCGCACACTTCCTTGCTGATTCTGTGCCTATCCCACAACTGGCCCAGGACTAAAGTAAATTTATCCATTTTAGCATTTTACGTGTTGGCTCCCTCTCTAGATAAAGACATACATTTTTTGGTGAACTACTTGAGGGTAAGTTGTGTGGACCCTAAGAAAGAAGATACCTCCTAAGAAGGGCTCCTGGTGGCTTAACTGGGCTTGATTTTTTTAAAAAAATTCTGTGCCTATCCCACAACTGGCCCAGGACTAAAGTAAATTTATCCATTTTAGCATTTTACGTGTTGGCTCCCTCTCTAGATAAAGACATACATTTTTTGGTGAACTACTTGAGGGTAAGTTGTGTGGACCCTAAGAAAGAAGATACCTCCTAAGAAGGGCTCCTGGTGGCTTAACTGGGCTTGATTTTTTAAACAGAGCCTAGCAGCCATTTCTATACAGAGTTCTCTCACACAAACCACACTTTAGGGAGAAACCTACATTAAGCTGCCTGCCTCTGCACTGGACTGCCTTCCTGCACTGTTTCTGCAAGCCAGTCCTCACAGAGGAATTCCTGGAGTCCTATTTCAACCAATAGGACTGAGGTTTTCCCATCCAATAGGAGCTATGCAGCCATATTCATCAACATCTTCACTGACCAATCAGAATAGCTCCCTTGTGACCAGTCAGGACAGTGCTTTTTAGACCAGTAAAACTGCAAGGATTTGGAGTCCTCCTTTGCATAAGGGCAGATCAATCAAGGACCAGGGACAGGGACTCCTGTCTATGTAAGTCAACTCCCCTCTGCCTCTGGGAGGAGGACACTTCCCTGTTCCCCTGAAGACAAGACTTGCTGGAGCTAAATCCTGGAAAGTGTCTCACTGGAGCAGAGCCGAGCATATCAGCACAGGGGCTGAGTGAGGTAGAACAGAGCAGGACAGAGCTGCCTAGCCAAAGCAGGGCCTTGCCCCAGGGCCACCTAGCCCAGAGCCTCTTCATAGCCATGCTGTCCTGCTACTTCATAATTGAGGTATAACAGTAGTAAGGTATTCCATAGCTGTGCTGTTTCACAATGGAACTGTTTTATACTAAATTTTCCTTCTTTGCTATACCCCAAACTGGGAATTCCTATTGGCATAATGGTACCAGCAACCACTGGTTGACCAGGAGATAAGGTTTGTAACGATACAGATTTAATAAACAGAGTAAGATTTATCTATCAGATAAATCTATTATACCTGATGATCACAGAATATAGATTGTTTTCAACTATACTTGAAGGATTCATAAAACCTGGCCACATATGAGATCTATCAATTGAGAGTGAAATCCATTGTAACAGAATCTTCCCACAAGAGTGGTTTAATCCAGTTTGGAGCTTATTATTATTTTTTCATGTTACATGAAGTCCAGAAATAAACAACCCAGGGTTGGTACAGCCAAATACTATTGTATGTATAATCAGTAGCCTATGACTGCTATCCCTTTGGTTTATTTCCTAAGAAAGAAGAAGAGATAAGATAAATGGAAAATGTTAAGAGAAAATACCAGATGAGATGCTCCCATTTCCATGGGTTTCTTTAAAACCCAGGAGCAGCTCTCACTCTTTCTCATTGGCCAGGACTATGGGCTCATGGGCACTCATAGCTGCAAGGAAAGCTAGATGATTCCTTATCAAACTGTCCACACTGCCAACTTGAACACAATTGTAGTTCTGTTACTTTAAGGAAGGAAGGGAGCAATGAAAACGGGACAGCAACTGATTCTATCTGATACATTAGGCCACAAAGCAAATCTCCAACAATTTTCTATCTGAATATGTGTCATTTAGAATCTATATCATGAAGACCATATATTGAGTGCACAATGTAATTAAATTAGAAATCTATAACTAAAAGATAATTAAAATATGCAGAGTTTTCACATTAAAACTCATTTCTAAATCCAAGAATCTTGTATAGATCCAAGACATCTTGATGAGAACTGGTACTCAATTACAATGAAAACATTATCTATCAAAACTTTTGTGATGTAAATCAAGGGAAATTTAGAATGCTACATTACATTTAATACTCGATTAATGAGTTGACAAACTTTAAGGATGAAACACTCACTGATAAAGACAACCACAGAACTGTAACACTTACAAGGTTGCTCCCTGTATAAGGTAAGTTGAGAGTTGTGCCTAAAGGCTTTCACCATTGGTCACAATGAGGTTTCTCTCCAGTGTGAGTTCTAGAGTGAGGAATGAGGTGTGAAGGACCACTTAAAGCTAGCCTGTAGTCATTTCATTCTTAAAGTTTTTGCTCAGTATGTATTCGCTTGTGCATTATAAGGTTAGTACTGGTGCTGAATGCTTTTCCACAGTGAATACATTTATAGGGCTTTTCTCCTGTGTGAGTTCTCACATGTACCCGCAGGCAAGAGGAATTCCTAAAGGCCTTCCCACATTCTCTACATTCATAGGTTTTCTCTCCAGTGTGCATTCTCTTGTGCACAATAAGATAAGAGCCCGAGCTGAAGGATTTTCCACATTGATCACACTCATAAGGTTTCTCTCCAGTGTGAGAGCGTCGATGTTTCTTAAGGGATGACTGATCAATAAAGGCTTTCCCACAGTCGCTGCATTCATAGGGCTTCTCTCCAGTGTGGGTTCTCATATGTTTTTGGAGGGAGAAAGGAACAGTGAAAGCCTTGCCACATTCCTTACAGTCATAGGGTTTCTCTCCAGTGTGAGTTCTTTTGTGCACATTAAGATGAGAGCTCTGGCTGAAGAATTTTCCACAATGATTACATTCATAAGGCTTCTCTCCAGTGTGTGATCTCACATGTTTCTTAAGGGAAGAGTGAAAAATAAATATTTTCCCACAGTCACTACATTCATAAGGTTTCTCTGCAGTGTGAAGTCTCCCACAGTTCTGAAGGGACAAGGGGCCAGTAAAAACCTTCCCACGTTTATCACATTTTGAGCTTCCCTTCTCAGTACATGAGATTTTGTGCACCCTAAGGGAAGGTCTTTGTCCATAGTCACTGCATTCGCGGAGTTTCTCTCCAATAGGGTTTTGCACATGTCCTGAAAAGGAAGAGTGTAATCTGAAGGACAGAAGACATTGATTACACTCAGAAGATTTCTCTCCTGTGAGAGTTCTTGAGTGTCCCCTATAGGATGACTCTAGATTGAAAACTCTGCTACAGTCAATAAATTCAGAAATGTTGTCTTCAGAATGAGTACTCATATAACTCCTAAGAGTTAAGAAATGGTCAAAACCTTTCCTGTATTCTTTATATTTGTAGCATTTCTGTCCCTTGCAATATCTTGTACAAATAAGGTGACAGTTCTTTCTGAAGAATTTTCCATAGTGATCAAATTCCAAAGGTTTCTCACCAGGGTGAGTTGGTGCCTGTTGAATAAGGAATAAGAGGTGACCTAAAGCTTTACTTTCATTACACTTATGAGAATTCATTTCGATGTGGACTCTGCCACATATAAGAAGTCCATTATTATGACTGACATTTTTACCAATTCTATGGCATATGTACAATTTTTGCCCTAGTAATTCCTTCAATCTGAATGGGCAGAATGCTTCCAAAGCCTCACTGTATTCATTCCAATCAAAGGGTATCCTAAATACAGAGTTTCTGTAATGGTGAGTATGGAATAAATGACTTATGTATTAAATAATTAAAAACAAATCACATTTAAGTAAATGTTTATTCTTTGGTATTCTCTTTGAAGCTGCTTACTGTGAGGCAGCAAGTATTGAGGTAGGATTGGAGATTTCTCAAATTCTGTGAGATTCATAGTCTTCCCTGAGACAGCTCTCTGCCACTTGCTTCAACTGTCTCTCCTTGTATGGGTGCTGCTGCTGTTTTAATTTACTGAAATTTACAGACTTCTCGTAATATAAAAAGCCATCCCTAGTAAATCTTACCATTTTTATGCCATTAGAAGTTTTTTCTTCAGGAACATTCTGCATAGGAATTGCATGTTTTGATTTAAGTTGAGTAGCCCAGCCTGAAACTGAAGGAGGAAAATTTTTATAACTATTGGGAGAAAAAGTAGGGATGAAAAAAAAAATAAGGTAAGTACTCTGTGGATTTGTTTTCAAATAATAACACTAAATATAGAAAGAAAAATGTGAAAGAGAAGATGAAACCAATGACCAGAGTAACTGACAGGAACAAGCAATGGAAATAGGAGGTATTTTACTTAGAAAGGATTCTGGAGGTTTGAGACAATAAGAGAGGGTATTACCTGGAAAGCAAAGTAGGGAGGACTGAACAGAAATTATTCAAGGAAATGTGAAATTGAAAGAGAAATTAAGCCCGGCTAGCATGGCTCAATGGTTGAGTGTGGACCTATGAACCAGGAGGTCAAGGTTCTCATGGCATATGCCTGTGTTGGGGGCTCAATCCCCAGTGTGGGTGTGCAGGAGGCAGCTGATCAATGATTCTTTCTTATCATCATTAGTTTCTATCTCTCTCTCCCTTTCCCTTTCTCTCTGAAATACATAAAAAGAATATGTATTTTTTTTAAAAGAAAGAGGAATTAAAAGTCTTTCTGAGACCAAATCAGAACAGGAATGAATGGAAATATGTTGAAAGAAGGAAAGCCCATAAAATGGCCTCAGCGTCCTTTTCCCACACTGACATTCCCAAATGCACCACCAGTTATGGCTGTTCCACACAATGACTCCCTTCTGCTTGGGGCTCGCCTGAACAGGCCCCTTGGAGAATTCTTTTCTTTCCTAGCCTCAGTTCTTACTGCTCCACCTCAGTGATCAGACTGTATTTGCAGAGATGATACCCTGCTAATGGAAAAGACATGATTTTGGAGCACTGAGAAGGAGGCAAGAAATCTTTCCATAAAACTGATTCCAATACTCTGGTCAGAAGTGGCAAGTGCAACTTTAGGAGCAGCAAAACAGATCAGATCAGAGAGCTTTCACAGGGCTCCAAAACAAACACCATATTCCATGTCTCTTATGGGACTGACCCTTGAAATCCAAGGCCAAGATCAGATATACAATGCAAATTACCTCATCTTTTAATGATAGAGAAAATGAAATCAGTGCATTTTCATGGGAAGCCATGAGACTGCCCCATAAGGGCAGGAACCACCCATTTGGGATTCACCACATATTGTTATTTTTTTCTTATTTTAAAAAAGATATTTTTGTTGAGTTTTAGAGAGAGAGGAAGAGAGAGGGAGAGAGAGAGAAACATCGACGTGAAAGCGAAACATTGATCAACAGCCTCCTACCAGGGATCAAACCTAAAACCCAGGAATCAAACTGGCAACCTTTGGTGCATGGGAGGACACTCAAGCAACTGAGCCACACCTGCCAGAACTTGTTATTCTTTTCACAGATCCTGGAACATGATATATGATAAACTATTTGCTTCATGTAGAGATGAATAAATGAGGCCAACCTTACCCACGGAGGCCAGGTTCCTAAAGTTCTCCATCATCACATCTCTGTACAGGATTTTCTAAGCAGAGTTCAGGAGTGCCCACTCCTCCTGGGAGAAGTCCACCGCCACTTCCTCAAAGGTCACCAAGTCCTGAAACATCACACACATTCTGCCTTAGCCAACCATTCTTCATCCACTGAGCCAGAAGAATGGTGAGAGAGGCTTCCAGGACTGGGGAAGGAGACTCAGTGCATAGGAAGCTCAGACATGCTTTGGAAGCCTCTCATGGCCTGCCCCAGAGCTCAGTTCTTGGAACTCTCCTCTCTCACTCTCACTCCCTGGACCATCTCATTCAAGCTCATGGTTTGACCAGCTTTTCTAACACACAGTTGACTTGATATTTCCACACTTAGATTCTGAGGACTCTTCCAATCTTATTCAAGATCTAGTACAGACTGAGTGTACAACAGGATGAGAAAACATATTTGGAAAATGAACAAATGTTTCCTCTAGTGAAAAATCTCTCTTTTCCTTCATAGCACCCCACAATATATAAAACATACTCAATCTGGAGGACTATCTGGAAAAACATTAACAAATGTTGTAGTAATAGAAGCCTTTCGTAAGACATTTGCTCTCCCATTCTAAGAAGCCCAGAGAACTGGGGAAGCCTGAGGCCAGCCCAGTAGGACTGGGAAGCTGTGGGTCATGGGCAAGAGATGTGTTCTTTGGGGACAGCAATGTTTTGGGTTTTTTGTGGTTTTTTTTGGGAAAGAGTATAATTTCCCACATACCTGTGACCAAGATGTCAGCAATCCTGCACCCATTCTTCCCTTTCTGTGTCTCCCTCCTCACCTGGCAGAGTTCTGAGCAAGCAGAGTTCGAGAAAAAGAAAGAAGCCATGAGAGTCTAGGCCTGACAGTCAACAGTTACAGACCTGCACCTTCCTCACACTAGCTGCAGAGTAACCACACACACAGGCACATATACATACACACAGTTTGCTCTTAAGATTTTATCTCCCCATCCAAGAACAATTAGGAATTGGGAATATAGTATATATTTATTATTTATTTTTTAAAAAACTTTTTCCTAAACTGAACCATGAAAAAATGCCTAGAGTCAGTAACAACTCAAGAGCAATGAGCCCCTCTAGTGTCAAAATGCTTCTAAATGCCATTTGCCTATGAAAGAAACCAGGACTCATTTTGGAAATAGCTGAGTCCAATGTAAAACAGGAGATGTTCACGATGATCCTGGAACACCTTATACCAGAAAGCAAGGAGCCTCTCAAAGATTGATGGGGTTACCCCTTTTCCCTTTTGCAATTAATAAAGATCTTATTAACTAGGGGATAATTTAAGATTTCATAAATAAGCTAAAGAACTTTATAAATGAAGGATTGAGCTGACACCACAATCAACTGATAAATCTTAACATCACAAAAGAGGCATCTGGATATCATGTGAGTTCTGACATGATGCAACAAGAAACAGCAACAACTATAGAATATTTTTGCCCCCCAAAAACACAATCTGACAAATCCTTTAACCTAATTAACAGTTTATGGGACAGGGGAAGAGGAGAAACCCAGGGACATGTTAAATGACATCTGAGGAAACAATTAGCCAACCCATTTTGGGGTAGAAAGAGGACAGGAGAAATGTTACTGATAAAGACACATAAACATTCACTGAAACGTGTGTACCTTAAATCTTGATTCCAACAACACCAATTGTAAAAACACATTTTGAGACATTTGGAGTGAACTGAACACAAATAGGGTACATGGTATTGGTAAAGAGAAAAGCAGCCCCTGACATCCAGGATTTAACAACAGTAACAGAGACAAGGCCACTCTGTAATCACGTCTGAGCACAGACAAAACATAAACATTATCCAGGCCTCAAAAAGGATCTTGCCTTGGCCAATTTTGGTCAGTAATTAGAGTGTTGCCCCGGGGACCGAATGGGTTTGATTCCCCGTTAAGGGCACATACTTGGGTTGTGGGTTCAATCCCGGCTGTGGTGGGGGGCGAGAGCAGGAGGCAACCAATCAATGTGTCTCTCTCATGTCTCTCTCTCTCTCTCTCTCCTTCTCTCTCTCTCTCTCTCTCTCTCTCTCTCTCTCTCTCCCCCTTCCTTCCACAGGAAACTCCTCCCTTCCTTCCACACTGTCTGGAAATCAATGGGAAAAAATATTCTTGGGGTGCATGTGGGAGGCAACCAACTGATGTGTCTCTCACATTGATGTTTCTTTCTCTTTCTCCGCCCTTCCCTCCCTTCCTTCCATTCTGTCTGAAAATCAGTGGGGAAAAAAAAAAATCCTCCGGTGAGGATTAAAAAAAAATTCTTGGGGTACACTTGTTGAAAATTGCTGCTCTCGCTACATAAACTGAATAGCCCTAAAATAATTTTAAAAACTAGATGGTGATGGTTGCATGATATTGTGAATATAATTAATGCCATTGAATTGTGTGTTTTAAAATGGTTATAATGGCAAATTTTATGTTATATATTTTTTACCACAATAAAAATGTAAAATATTAAATAATCTGGACTGTGCTGAACCCTTCAGAGAGGCTCCAGGTCTCTCCAGGCCCAAATAACTCACTGCCCAAAGAGAAAACACCAGACTCAGAGGTTTTAAAAGTCATTTTTGCTATTCAAAAAGAGAATTCCAATCTGACTCCAAATCTTCCAGGGATTGGACACACTTATGAAGATTCTGGCTACTTACACTATACTTCAATATACTTGGTTTCCTATGATTGCCTATTACTAATATTAGTAGAGGCAATAGTATCTTATACAATTTACAAGGCAATAATTAGGTATTTGCTCAATTAATATTTGACAAAGGAGGCAAGAGCATACAATGGAATAAAGACAGTCTCTTCAATAAATGGTGTTTGGAAAATTGGACAGGTACATGCAAAAAAATGAAACTAGACCACCAACTTACACCATACACAAGAATAAACTCAAAATTGATAAAAGACTTAAATGTAAGTTGTGAAACCATAAAAATCTTAGAAGAAACCATAGGCAGCAAAATCTCAGACATCTCTCGTAGCAATATCTTTACCGATACATCTCCTAGGGCCGTGGTCGGCAAACTGCAGCTCGCAAGCCACATGCAGCTCTTTGGCCCCTTGAGTGTGGCTCTTCCACAAAATACCACGCACGGGCGCGCACGTACAGTGCGATTGAAACTTCGTGGCCCATGAGCAGAAGTCGGTTTTTGGCCTGGGCGAGTCTATTTTGAAGAAGTTCTGTTGATATTTGGCTCTGTTGACTAAGGAGTTTGCTGACCACTGTCCTAGGGCAAAGGAAACTAAGAAGAAAATAAACAAATGGATTGCATAAAAATAAAAAGCTTCTGCACAGAAAAAGAAACCATTAACAAAATGAAAGAGCATGGGAGAACATATTTGCCAATGATATATCTGATAAGGGGTTAATTTCCAAAATATATAGGGAATTCATACAACTTAACAAAAGGAAGACAAACAATCCAATAAAAAAATGGGCAAAGGATCTAAATAGACACTTCTCCAAAGTGGACATTTAGAAGGCCAAGAGACATATGAAAAAATGCTCAGTCACTGATCATCCAAGAGATGCAAATTAAAACGACAATGAGGCATCACCTCACACCTGTCAGAATGGCTATCATCAACAAATCAACAAATGACAAGTGTCAGGGAGGATGTGGGAAAAAGGGAACCCTAGTACATGTTGGTGGGAATGCAGACTGGTGCAGCCACTATGGAAAACAATATGGAGTTTCCTCAAAAAATTAAACATGGAATGCCCATTTGACCCGGAGACCTCACTTATAGGAATATATCCTAAGACCAGAAACACCAATCAGAAAGGATATATGTACCCCTATGTTCACAGCAGCCCAATTTACAATAGATAAGATTTGGAAACAGCCTAAGTGTCTATCAACAGATGAGTGGATAAAAAAGTTGTGGTACATTTACACAATGGAATACGGTGCAGCTGTAAAAAAGTAAGAACTCTTACCATTTGCAACAGCTTGGATGGACCTGGAGAGTATTATGTTAAGTGAAATAAGCCAGTCAGAGAAAGATAAGTATAATATGATCTCACTCAAAAGTGGAATCCAGTGAACAAAATAAACTGATGAACAAAATAGATTCAGAGACACAGAAGGATAAAACAGACGGTCAAATCTCAGAGGGAAGGCAGGGGAGGGTGTGTGTGTGTATGTGAAGAGATCAACCAAGAACTTGTATGCATATATGCATAACCCATGGACACAGACAATAGGGTGTTGAAGGCCTGGGGCTGGGGTCAGAGGCGGGCTAGAAGAGGTCAATAGGGGAAAAAAGGGAACATATGTAATACTTTTAACAATAAAGATTAAAAAAAAAAGCATCACATATGCCTTTTCCCTCACTTTGGAGAACTTTTTCCCACTGTCTTCAGCACTTCTCTTTGTCCCACCTGAAAGATCAGACCAGGTGTGCATAGTTGATGTCTTCCTCGCATTGAAAGATCCTTCATGTTAAGAACATGGAAAGGGATATCAAATACTTTCATAAATCACGGGCCAAGATTCTGCTCTTCAGGGATATCAAATACTGTTGGGTATAACTTGAGAAACAATAAAATTTTCATGTAACTCTACCATACCAGTAAACTTCCAAATGAAACTAAAACTTTCAAAAGCAAACACATACTCTCTCTCTCAATATACTTAAAAAGGGTTGCTGGTATTTACCCTGAAATCCAGGCTCAAACTTGTATATACATTTTTGAGGTCTTAAGCCTTTTATCCATAGAGAAAATAAAACTAGTACAATGAATAGATCTTCATTTTCATGAGAAAGCCGCTTGAGAGTAAGGTCTATAAAAGCAGAAACAATGTCTTCTCTGTCTACCGGGGCATTCCCATTAATCAGCAGATTGCCTGTAATAGAGTCACTTAAGAAATATTTGTTCCAGAAAAAATTTAAATGAAGAAATGGTACCAGTCCTACCTACTGCAACCAGATTCTCATAGTTCCCCAGCACCACATCTCTGTATAGATTTCTCTGAGTTTAAACTAGCAAAGTCCATTCCTCCTGGTTGAATTCCACAGCTACATCCTCAAAGGTCACTGTCACAAATGTTCTAGCATCAGGCAATTGCCTCGATCAATATTCACTGGAGAAAGAAGGAGACCCTATGCCTGACAGGGTCCCATGTTCTCCCATCATCATCTCCCCCACGGCTCAATGGTCCTCATGCCCCTTCTCTCTACTTGGACATATTCACTAGTAATCTCATTCAGTCACACAGCTTTAAGAGCATTTCTTTCACCTGAATGAATGTAATTATCTCCCACGACTAGACTGTGACCCCTTCTGGTTTTATTTTTCTCTATTGACAGGATTTAGCATAGTCCTGAACATGCATCTTTCCTTTGTGTGTCCACAGAATCACAAATTCTGAGTAGGCATGTTCACTCTTTGTGTATCATAACAAAATTAGAGCACACACTCAGAGCACAGAATCAGACTAAACTAGTAAATACTGGGATAACAGTATCATTTCCCTATGTAATCTGTCAACCACATGAGAAGACCTGAGAAAATTAAACTGGGGACACAGTCCCTAAGCAGGTCCTATTTGTACTAAGAAGCTCCATTCTAGCCCTAGCTGGTTTGGCTGGGTGGATAGAGCATTGGCCTGTGGACTGAAGGGTCCTGGGTTCGATTCCAGTCAAGGGCACATGCTCAGGTTATAGGCTTGATCCCTAGCAGGGGGCGTGCAGTAGGCAGCCAATCAATGATTCTCTTTCATCATTGATATTTCTCTCTCCCCCTCTCTCTTCCATCCTGAAATCAATAAAAATATATATTTTTAAAAAAGAAGCTCCATCCCACTAGAAGGAAACATGTCTACCTAGTAGGAAGAAGTATGTGTTTTTAAAAAAATATATATATTTTATTGATTTTTTAAAGAAATGAAGGAAGAGGGATAGAGACTTAGAAACATCGATGAGAGAGATCGATCAGCTGCCTCCTGCAAACCCCCCACTGGGGATGTGCCCGCAACCAAGGTACATGCCCTTGACCAGAATCGAACCTGGGACCCTTCAGTTCGCAGGCCGATGCTCTATCCACTGAGCCAAACCGGTCAGGGAGAAGTATGTGTTTTAATAAAGGAATACATTTCCTATTTACCTGAGAATAATGTGTCAGACATCTAGTGATAATCTTTTCCCCCTTGGGCTTCTTTTCATGAAGACAGAAAAAGTCTGAAAAAAGACAACCTTGAGAAGAAATGAAATCTGAAAACTTAGGCTGCCCCCCGATTGATGTTTCTCTCTCATCAATGTTTCTATCTTCTATCCCTCTCCCTTCCTCTCTTTCTAAAAAAAATCAGTAAAGATATAAAAACAAACAAACTTAGATTTCCTAGTTTCCACATTCACAAACCTGGAAGCACCATTTCACACTAATTCTAAATGGATGGACACACACATACACATTTGGATGGACGGATAGACAGACACATACACATACACATACAGCTCCCATAAAATGCCCAAGCAGCCCATCTTATCTGAAATCAGAAAAGTAGTTTTGGATTTAATAAATAAGAGGAAGAATTTAATAATCCCATTTTACAGATAAAGAAATTAAAATCCAGGGAGGCAGAGTTGTTTGCCAACAATGATAAAACTCATCAAATGATTAAGCAGAACCTCTCTTATAAAAACACTAGAGGCCCGGTGTACGAATTCGTGCACCGGTGGGGTCCCTCAGTCTGGCCAGCGATCTGGCCGATCAGGGCTGTCTCACCCAGTCCTGATCAGGGCCAGTGGGGGCCGGCTGGGTTGGGGAAGACCACAGGAGGTTGGCCAGCCGGGTGAGGTTGGCTGTGGGAGTGCACTGACCACCAGGGGGCAGCTCCTGCATTGAGCGTCTGCCCCCTGGTGGTCCGTGCACGTCATAGCGACCGGTCATTCGGTCAACCGGTCGTAACGGCCACTTAGGCTTTTATATGTATAGATACATACATACCCATCCTTCTCAAATCCCAGGATTTAGGCATTCTTATCTACTTAATCCCTCGAGTCAAAAAGTTTGCCCACCCCTGGCTTAGACCCTGCACAAGACGACTGTTCATGGGCTAGAGTAAGATCTCTGAAAGGAACATCAACAAGGACTTACCACAAGGAGAAAGATCAATGGCCAGCATCCTGTGAGTCTGACAGAGGAACCTACCTGAACACTTCTTGTTCCCAAAGTCTCTTTAAGAGAGTATGTTTCAAACTTAATTCCTCTTGATTAAGTAGTAATGGGAAGTCTTGCCTCATACCTTCAATCTTTAGGCAGCAGGCATTAGTCATCTGTCATCAAGCAGAAAATGAAATGATAAGAAACTCCATACTATGAAACTCCATACTACACCATCCGAACATAAATAATAATTGCAATTTACAGAGTACCCAACGTGTGCCAGAAACATTGATAACTCATCCGATTACCACCATTGAATAGTTGAGGCAATCTTATTCAGACAGGAGTAGTAATTAGCCCAAGATGACCAATTAGGAAGTGGTGAGCTAGGATTTGAATACATATTACTCTGTCATAAAGATCTGAGGCTCTGGACAATGTTGTATAATTTTGAATTCTGAGTGGCTAACGTCAGTCATGCGGGTGCTGCATGCCTACATTACAGATCCCATTAAAAACCTAAACACCAAATGTTAGGTGCTACAGACTAAATGTTAAATGTTTGTGTCTCAACCCCCTTCCCCAATTCATATATTGAAACCTAATCTCCAGTGTGATGGTATTTGGAGGTAGGGCCTTGAGGTCATGATTAGTGGGATTACTGCCCTTATAAAAGAGATCCCAGAGAACCCCCTTGCCCCTTCTGCCATGTGAGGACACAACGAGAAGACAGCCATCTATTAACCACAAAGTGGGTCCTCACCAGACACTAAATCTGCTGACACCTTGATCTTGGTTTTCCCAGCCTCTAGAATGCTGAGAAATGTGTTGTTTATAAGCCACCAAGTCTACCACATTTTTGTTACAGCAGTCCAATTGACCAGACGTACATGAGGTGAGATTCCTTGGTTGGCTACTACTGACTGTAATATAGTAAATGAAAGTCCAAGAATATGTTGTGATACTGCAAAAGAAAAATGTATAGAAGGGAGGCTTGGAAGGAAAGCTCCTATTCACAGAGGACTGCCAGCTAAAGAATGAAGAAGGAATGACAGAATTTGAAAAAACACACATTTGTATCCCCTAATATAAAAATAGGTTAAAAAAATAAAAAATAAAAACAGGTTAAGGCAAAAATCAACAACTGATGCTAAGACCATTGGGTAAAAGGCTTTGGGGAACAAAGTGTCACCCATAGATTACCACAAGGAAAAATGTGGCTTAGCATCACTAATAAACAGCGGGATTTAAGTGAATTTAAGTGTCTCCCAATGAGATGAAGCACACATCACCCAGGAAACTTTCAAGTCTCTAAACCTGTGCAGTATAACTTGATAGCCACAGGCTAATGCAACTGAGGAACTGAATTTTTAACTTTATTCACTTTTAATTCAGTTTAGAAGTAAAATTGATTCAGTCACTGAAAAACTTTTCAGTGTGTCTGAAACAACTTGAGTTTGTAAATCTACTTTTTTCAACAGTAAATTTTATAAAATCTAAAAACAGATCAAGAATTGCCAATGAAAATTTAGCATCCACATGAGATGTGCTGTAAATGTAAAATACACGCTAGATTTAAATCAGTTAGTAAAAAAGAAATGTATAAGTTCTTAAAAGCTCTATTAGCCCTGCTGGTTGAGCATCCACCCACCAACCAAGAGGTCACCAACCAAGGGGTCACGTGTTGGATTCCCAGTCAGGGCACATGCCTGGGTTTTGGGCTTGATTCCCAGGCGGGGGCGTGCAGGAGGCAGCCCATCGAGGTTTCTCTCTCATCAATGTTTCCCTCTCTCCATCCCTCTCCCTTCCCCCCTCTCTCTCTCTCTCTCTCTCTCTCTCTCTCAAATCAATAAAAACATATTTAAAAATAAATAAAAGTTCTATTAATACTTTTATATTGACTACATTAGTTATTAATTTCACTAATCATTTTCTATTGATAGCTGGGTATGCTGGGTTAAATAAATTATTGAAAATAAAGTCACATGTATTTTTAATTTTTCTAACTTGGCTTGTAAACATTTTTTAAATTACATTTATACCTTGCATTGTATTTGTATTACAGAATACTGCTCCAGATCCGACGTACTTCACAAGAACTCCAAGAGGCAGACAAGTCAAACAAAATCACAGGAAACAGCACTGCATCAGAACGCAGACATCTGACAATACAGGGGCTGGCAAAAATAGCTTTACAGTTTCAGTACGGAAAGAGACGTGAATGTTATGATTATTACAACAGCTTGATTAACTCAAAAGAATGCCACTGACAGCTGTAAGCCTACTTTTGACAACCCCTGTATAACTCTCCTGGAATCTTCAACAATCAAAATTAAATTTTAAGAAATGCAGGGAAATGTTTTGGGCGTAATAAAGAGATTGGAAAACAACATGCAACGTGTGATCTTGTTCGGATCGATGCTAGCTCCAAAAAACCCCCGATTCTTCTCTCATAGATACTTTTCTGGGGAACTGGAGGAATCTGATTTTCGTGGGTGGACAATGGAGTTTTGTTCTGTTTTGGGAGGAGACAGCCCTCGTTCTTAGGAGGCGCATGTTTAAGGGGTGAAGTGAGTGTCTGCAATTTGCCCCTCACTGGCTCATCATCACAAGAATCTACATCCTGAATGACAAGCGAGACACATCGTAACCATCAGTGAATCTAGAAGATCAAGGGTGCACCTGACGCTGCAGGCAGATTTCCTTCCGATGGGAATTTCTAAATGAGAACCACCCGCCCGTCCAAACCCACCCCACCTCGACTTCTGCTCGCAGCGAAGTCAGCGCGCACCATCTATTCTCCCGGAGACGCCCCGCTCAGCGCCAGGGGCTGCAGGGCTCTGCGAGGAGCCAACTCGAGACCCGAGGAGGCAGCGCGCCGTTCCCCGCGGTCAGCGCGCGAGTCACAGTCTTTCATTCACCCGCGTGCACCCAGCCACCGGGAAAGGCTCCCCTCTCCCCCGGAACGCAACTTACCAAACTCAATAACCGACACCCCGGGGGAAAAATCCACGGAAGGCGCCCCGGGACCCGAAGGGAGTGCCGGCTGCGGGGACCGGGCACCCGAGGCCGCAGTCAGCGACGCGAAGGACCGAGGTGCTCTTCCTTCTGAGGAAAGGGCGCAAACGGTGACTGACCTGGAGGCTTTGCTAAAGGGGAGGCGGGAATCGCCCCGCAGCGCCCCGCGGAGGCCCGAGGGGCCGGGTCAGAGCGCGCGGGGCCGGGCTAACGCGCGAGGCCAGCCCCGGGTGACCCCGCCTACCCCTACCTCCGACGCCCGCCCGCCCGCGCGCGCACACGCCAACGTGCACACGCCAACGTGCACACGCACGCTCGCTCGGTCTCCGCGAGCGACGTAAGGGGCGGAGCCTCGGAGGTTTGGAACAACCGGGGAATCGCCTGCCAGGCGATTGACATGAAAGGTGCAGTTGTGTGCCCTAACCGGTTTGGCTCAGTGGATGGAGCGTCGGCCTGCGGACTGAAAGGTCCCAGGTTCGATTCCGGTCAGGGCATGTACCTTGGTTGCGGGCACATCCCCATTAGGGGGTGTGCAGGAGGCAGCTGATCGACGTTTCTCTCTCATCGATGTTTCCAACTCTATCCCTCTCCCTTCCTCTCTGTGAAAAATCAATAAAATATATTTTAAAAAAGAAAGAAAGAAAGGTGCGACTTCGGTGGTTTATTTTCTTCCCTGGCCCCTGCCTCTTGCACGTCTTACGCCTCTCTGTGAAAAATCAATAAAATATATTAAAAGAAAGAAAGGTGCGGCTGTGGCCGAGGACTGTGGTGGTTTATTTTCTTCCCTGGCCCCTACCTCTTGCACGTCTTACGGGAAAAACAATTGTTCTGTAGACCAAAAAGTAACATCGCTAGATGGTCATCACTAAAAATTTACTAGGGGTGGCGGGAGAAGAAACGATCGCAACCCGGTGCATGCATGCCGATCGCAACCCGGTGCATGCGTAGACCAAAAAGTAACATCGCTAGATGGTCATCACTACAAATTTACTAGGGGTGGCGGGAGAAGAAACGATCACAACCCGGTGCATGCATGCCGTAGACCATTTCCAACATGTCATAATTTCAAGAGTTTCATCAAAAGGTTGATGAGACTTGGGGACTCAGCAGGGTTGAGTCACACCTGTAGTCACCTGTTGGGAATGGCTGAAGGCATTTCCCCAAACCTGAATAGGAAACTGATTGTGGCTGCCAGACAGTTAAAGGGCATCTTAATCTACATGTTATTGCCTCCTACTGGCCAAACACCTGAACAGCCGTAGGCTAATTCCCCAAACTGACAATGCCTCTGTACCCTTTAAAACCTTACCCTTTGAAGTGTATTACCTCCACCTTGCCTTAGGACAAATTGTGTTAATAAAAGCCAGGGTCCTAGACAGGGAGGGAGTCTTCAGTTCCTTTAGCTGAAGCTCCTCTGACCCCCCAATGCCTTTCAAAATTATAACTCGTCTCCAGACTCTTTAGTAGTCTCTGGATTCCTATGTCATCTACGCACAGCCTTTTCCAGATTCCTGAATCCTTCTTGATTCTGGGACAAGAACCCCGGCACATGCAGACATGGCAAGCCATGTGGCCTGTAAGCGAAGACGGAGGGGTATTCATAGAAGGGAGATAAGGGAAGGGGAATTAGAGCTGCAGAACTTCATTATATAAACAGTTCTTTCTGTAGGGTTCTCCCAATGACAGTGTGAGAACTTCCATAACCCTAGCTCTTCCCAGGGACCCGCCTGATTATGTTCCCTTAAAGTTCCATTTCGTCTTTATCGATGTCACATTTTGCTGCATACTTAAATGCATCTTACTCCTGTTGGCACCATTGTTGCTAAACTTTCCCCATGGAGATGATGGATACAATCACTGGATAACTACATGCCCTTTTCATAAATTCACTGTTGGTGATTCAGCTTTTCAATGTAGTTTATTTTTTTTTTAAATTTGTCTTTATTGTTCATACTATTACACATGTCCCTTTGCTTTTTTTTCACCATTGACCCCCTCCATCTGGCACTGCCCCTCCCAGGCTTTCACCACACTGTTGTCTGTGTCCATGGGCTATGCATATATGCATGTTTCCCGGTTAATCCCCTCCCTCTACTACCACCACCACCTCCCCAGTCCGGCCTCCCTCTGAAATTCCTGTCTGTTCCATGGTTCTATGTCTCTGGATCTATTTTGTTCATCAGTTTATTTTGTTCATTAGATTCCACTATGAGTGAGATCATGTGATACTTATCTTTCTCTGACTGGCTTATTTCGCTTAGCATAATACAATGTAGTTGTTAGGGCTGATCAAATAATTGAATCGATACCCCCTCCCCAGAATCAGGCAGACGGGATTTTTTAGAGCTTTAGCTCCTTCTCCATTCCTTGGCCAAAGAAAAAAACTTTCTGATCTGCTTTACCAAACCCAGTTTTGTTCTGTTGGTACGAGCTACACTGGGCAGAACTGCGATGCTGGGTCCCTGGCCTGCAAGGGGTGGGTTACAGTTGTGACTGAGAACCGGAAGGAAGTACAAGGGCCTTTAGTGAGCACCGGAAGCATGAATGCCTGCGTGTTGTTTTGCCATGTGAACGAGAAAAGGTATTGGGAAAACAAATGGAAAGGAATACTAGAGGAGGTTGAACAGAGTCCTCCTACTGCGAAGTGTGCTGATTTTAGAGGTAAAAGGCCAGAGCAGCATCAGGGTTGGGGGCCACAGGAAATGTGGGCACACACTACGATTTATAGAGCTTAAGTTTTTTACAAAACGATATCCACTCCCATTTTTAAAAAAGAGGACGGGAGTGTTGCAGAGGCTGGCACATTCTAATGAAAGGACTGACTGGGTGGAAGGGAGGTCTCGTGGGTCGGTATCGGTTTTGTGTCTGTCCCGTTCCCCAGTTGAGAGCCTGGATTGGAGGCCCTACCTCGCCTTTAGCCCTCGTCTACCTCAGTCCCGCCCCTCGACCTGGCCCCACCGCAAGCCCCGCCTCTCGGAATATTCAACTAAGTCCCGCCCCACTGAGCTGGTCCCGCCCCTTGACCTGGTCCCGCCCCTCGACCTGGCCCCACCGTAAGCCCCGCCTCTCGGAATATTCAACTAAGTCCCGCCCCACTGAGCTGGTCCCGCCCCTTGACCTGGCCTCGCCTCTCGACCTGGCCCCACCGTAAGTCCCGCCTCTCGGAATATTCAACTAAGTCCCGCCCCACTGAGCTGGTCCCGCCCCTTGACCTGGCCTCGCCTCTCGACCTGGCCCCACCGTAAGTCCCGCCTCTCGGAATATTCAACTAAGTCCCGCCCCACTGAGCTGGTCCCGCCCCTTGACCTGGCCTCGCCTCTCGACCTGGCCCCACCGTAAGTCCCGCCTCTCGGAATATTCAACTAAGTCCCGCCCCACTGAGCTGGTCCCGCCCCTTGACCTGGCCTCGCCTCTCGACCTGGCCCCACCGTAAGTCCCGCCTCTCGGAATATTCAACTAAGTCCCGCCCCACTGAGCTGGTCCCGCCCCTTGACCTGGCCTCGCCTCTCGACCTGGCCCCACCGTAAGTCCCGCCTCTCGGAATATTCAACTAAGTCCCGCCCCACAGGAGTAGCCAACTAAGCCCGCCTCACTGACCTGGCCCCGCCCCAATGACCTGGTACCGCCCCACCGACATCCAACCGGGAGGAAATTGGCAGCTCGCCGCTCACAGCTGGAAGCACCGCCGCCCCCTCCTCATCCCTCCCTGTCCCTCCCCATTTCCCAGCTCCGGAGCCCCCGCCTCTCCCGCTGGGCGCCGCGCAAAATCCGGAAGCAAATGTGTGCTTTT